ACCTTGCACAGATGGCTTTTATTATTTCTAATTAAGAGTGAGGGACAATAGCACAACAGCTCTAACTTATTTAAATAATGTTCTACATTTTGGGGAAGAGAGAGAGAGAGAACTGGTGGTGTTTTCTGTTGATTTTCCCCCCCCCTCTTCAACATCAGTGATTCTACGGCTTTTAAATGTGAAGTGGACTGTTTATCTGAAAGTGTGCTGGCAGACTGCCACCATATTTCTAAGATTAAAGAAAAGATTGAAAACAATCAGCTTTCCGAGGAACTGAAACCACGACAATATGTTTCTGATTAATTTACAAATATATGTATATATTTAAGGCTAAACTACAGAACCAGAAAATTCCTACTAGTTAGTCTATCACAGGCATTCTTACACTTTATTAGAACAGACATCATATTGAAATAATAAGCATGGGAGGCCTTCGTTTCTTCTTTGATCTATATTACTAAATGTCTGACTGGCTCAGATTTAAAATAAACTTTGGTATGTTTGCACTTGAAAACTGGAAAAAGACCACAAGTAATAATTTGTTGTCAGTTTCCATATTCTCTAACTAAAAACTATCGTTTAGTCTGCACACTGCTGGATGCCAGGCGATGTTAGTCCAGTCACCCCTGCAGTGGCTAAACTTTCTTGTAGGAATATATGCTCCAGTATGGAGGGAATGATGATAGATCACTTCATCAGCGTGGAACTAGCTGAGACGAATTAAAGGTACAGATCACAGCTCTCTGTGCTTTCCAAATCTCTTGCAGGCTGGTGTCATTACAGCCTTCAACACACAGGTACGTAGGGGAGAAGGGTACCACGGAGATCCTTTTTCTCTGAACACCTAAGGTTCGTGATTTCATGCCAAATGCATCACAAATGTGAAGGCAAAATTTTAAGCTGTTTAATGATGGCTCTTCAGTGTTGTCCTCTATGATTTTAAAGTATTTTTTTCAGTTTAAATGTTGTCAATTTGCTTCCAATACATTAAATGACAATAAACAGTGCTGTTTAAGTGCCATTTACGCCCAGTGTAGCTGGATTTTTTTAGCCTTGGGAGCTTATATATATATCTGGGTAATAATTTCACTCAGACTGAGGTACAGATTAAAACATTTCATACAAGATTAGTTTATTTTCTTATTTAGAAAGCTGAATTCAGAGGAAGGAACACAGAAGGGAGTTCCTACTCAGGAGGTGAAAGAATCTAAAATATTCACCCTTAAAACACATAATGAGTACAAAATGCTATGGATTGTTACAAATGGCAGGAGTAACGAATACACTGACATCCTTTAACTTTTCTCAGCCTATTAAAAGCATTTCTTAATTGTCTGGTTAAACACGAATCTCAGTAACAAATGAGCTAATGCTCATAAAAAAAAGGAAAGAGCTTTGAAAATCTCGTCACCTCTAAAAATTCCCATTCTACTGAACATATCTCATCACTTTATTGCCAAGGTAACCATGGGTATCTCGTGAACTCTCCAGTGCTACTGGATGGTCAAATACCAGTGCTGCAAAACACCTTGTTCTCTATCTACACATGATAAGGCCATGCTTAAGACACAGGACTGAGCTCCAAAATGGATGCACTTCTGAGTCTACGTGATGACTGCAACTCATTTAGGAAGGAGAGAAACCACTTACATTCCAGAAGTTTCAAAATTCAACAGCAACAGAAAGTGCTATGAGCATTTTCCCCTGACAGACTGTGCATTGGTAGGGGCTCCATTTAAATCAAGGTCCTAGCTACCTAAGATATCACCCAACTCATCACATCGTGACCTTTTAGATCTCTTAACTATATAATGCCACACCAAATGGAGAAGGAGGAGAGGGACATTTACATACCAGAACTGGGGAACCAAGATTACTGAGCATGGTTTTAGAAAAGATTAAGGTTATCTCCTGAACCAAAAGATTTTCAAACTTTCATTAAAGTTTACCTGTTCAATCTAGCTCTCCTAGAATAAATATCCTTCTCTTGTTATGTGCATACATCCTGCCAGACACATTGCAGTGGTTTTCAAGCACTGACGCTAACATTTTCAGCAGAAAGACTGTTGTTACACCTTTGCTAATTCCTAGAGAAGAGCACTCACATTAAAAACGGTGAGCACCAAATAAAATACCTGGACAGACAGACTGAGCTGGAGAATCAGAGTTGTTGTGGGTGATCTAAGACTGAACACACCAACATTCAGTAACCCAGGGGCTTCCCTACTGATAAAGGAATAGCCATACTTATTACTGGGTAGAGTAGATCTGATTTGAGCCATATTCTGCTAGTTGAGCTGAAGCAAAGAGAAATTAAAAAGCAAAGTCAGAATAGATATGACCCAAGGGCCTAAAAAACCCATCTAGACCATATTCCTGACTCTTGCTGGTCTGATGAACAAAGGACCAGGAGGACTCACTTTTCTGTGTTTTGCCACTTTAAAGACATCAGGTAACACATTCAAAGAGACAAGCTGATGTGCTAAGGAAGTTCAATATACATGAGAGGGTTGCTGATGACATATGGCTGCTTTTAGACACAACAAAAAAGAAAGATGACCAGCTGTGTGGATTGCA